AATTATGTTAAATGTTGCGGTTACCTAAGATACAATTTAAACCCAAGTTACATGATCCAACTATGCGATGTTTTCTCAAACACAGATAACATGAACCCTAATTCTTGTCTCATTTCAATGACATTCGTTCTTGATAACTCTGTACATTTGATAACAGTGTGATCAACTAAGCAATACTCGACACTTATAAACTTAGCCGAGCTGCTTAACTACATTGAGGCGTGCTCTCCTATCAATTTGAACTTCATAAAATCCAGTTTGAAATAACATCTCCGCCTGCAGCTCATCTACAGTTAATGACGGTCACAAGCCTGGGTGAAAGAAGGAGGGATGAGGATGAGGTCGGACATCCCATCACGTAGATCAATATCTGGCTAAAAAACATTAGCCAGATTAAGCAAATTTAACCATTTAAACTCTGCCCTAGGAGTTAGAAGGTCTTCATTTAGAAGAACTATGACGCCTCATGGTGAAAACCAAGTTCCTTCGGAAGCCACGAGGCCGATGCCCCTTTCAACAACCAGAGCAACAATTTTTATAGGTACATGGAACGTCCCGACAATGCGGTAGAACGAGAAGACCAGTCAAATAGCAAAGGAAATGAGGAGATACAAGTTGGTGGTGCTCGGAATCAGCGAAAACCATTAGACCCAAGCTGGGCAGCTAAAGCTATATACGGGAGAGATGCTACTGTACTGTGGTCACGAAGAGGGAAATGCTCCACACACTGAGGGAGTGGCACTGATGCTGTCCAAAGAAGCACGTAAAACACTTATAGGATGGGAATCTCACGGATCCAGAATCATCAAAGCATCATTCAAAACAAAGAAGGAGGGGATTACAATGAATGTTACCCAATATTATACACCCACCAATGATAGCAACGACGACAATAAAGATCAATTATATGAGAAGCTGCAATCAATCATAGCGAGGTGCGCAAGAAAGGACATCACTATTTTAGTGGGAGATTTAAACACTAAAGTCGGAATAAACAACACGGAATATGAAGATATCATGGAAAGACATGGACTGGGAGAGAGAAACAAAAATGGGGAGAGATTTGTAAATGTATGCGCATTCAACAAATTGGTTATAGGCGGCACAATATTTCCACATAAACGCATACACAAAACTACATGGATCTCACCGGACCACATCACAAAGAACCAGATAGATAATATCAATAAGAGATTCAGGAGGACAATGGAAGATGTAAGAACTAGGAGAGGAGCTGAAATAGCTTCAAATCACCACCTGGTTGTGACCAAGATGAAACTGAAGCTAAGGAAACACTGTACAACTGGAGGAAAAGCATTACAAAGGTTCAATACACCCTTCGAGATACTAACAAACTCAACGAATTCAAGATAAACCTCAAAAACAGGTTCCAAGCCTTACAGGATCTACTGAATAAAGAAGAAACTACTATGGAGGACAACTGAGAAGGTATCAAAAAAGCATTAACTTCAACGTGTCAGGAGGTTGTGGGCCTAAAGAAGCATCATTATAAGGAATGGATTTCTGTGGAAACCCTGGACAAGATCAAAGAAAGGAAGAACAAGAAGACAGCAATTAACAACAGCAGAACACGAGCAGAGAAACTCAAGGCACAAGCTGAGTACATAGAAGGAATCAAGAAAGTGAAGAAGAGAATTAAAGCCGACAAGCAGAAATGCGTGGAAGAACTAGCAACGATACAGGAAAAAACCGCAGTAGAAGGAAATATCAAACAACTATATGATCCAACGAAGAAACTAGCAGGGAGCCATAGGAAACCAGAGAGACTGGTCAAGGACAAAGGAGACAGGCAATCACTGAAATTCAAGAACAGCGGAACAGATGCGTAAAATACTTAGAGGAACTCTTGAGTATACATGCTCCATTAGATCCACCGAAGATCGAAGCAGCACCTCCAGACCTTCCTGTAGATGTCACTCCACCAACAATCGAAGAAATCAGGATGGCTGTCAGACAAATCAAGAGCGGGAAAGCAGCAGGACCCGACAACATACCAGCTGAAGCACTGAAGTCAGACATCTAAGTAACCACAAACATGCTATACCTTCTATTCAAAAAGATTTGGGAGGCGGAAAAACTGCTGATGGACTGGAAAGAAGGACACCTCGTCAAGATTCCAAAGAAAGAAGATCTGAGCAAATGTGAAAACTACAGAGGCATTACACTACTGTCAATAGCAGGGAAAGTCTTTAACAGAGTGTTGCTGGACCGGATGAAAAACGCAGTAGACGTTCAACTTCGAGATCAACAAGCTGGATTCCGTAAGGATCGGTCGTGCACAGACTAAATTGCGACACTACGGATCATCGTCGAACAATCAGTTGAGTGGAACTCGTCACTGTAAATCAACTTCATTGATTATGAAAAGGCATTTGACAGTGTAGATAGGAGGACGCTATGGAAAGTTCCTCGACACTACGGAGTTCCTGAGAAGATTGCCAACACTATCCGGAACTCATACGACGGACTACAGTGCAAGGTCGTGCATGGAGGACAGCTGACAGATGCATTCCAAGTAAGGACCGGCGTCAGACAAGGCTGTCTACTCTCTCCCTTCCTCTTTCTTCTGGTGGTCGACTGGATTATGAAGACCTCGACTTCTGAGGGAAAACACGGAATACATTGGACAGCTCAAGACCAATTAGACGATTTGAACTTCGCAGATGACCTAGCCCTCCTATCGCATACACATGAACAAATGCAGATAAAGACAGCCAATGTAGCAGCAGTCTGTGCATCAGTAGGCCTCAACATACACGTGAGGAAAAACAAGATCCTCAAATACAACACGGAGAACAGCAATCCAATCACTCTTGATGGCGAAACTCTGGAAGATGTGGGAAGCATCATCGATGAACAAGGAGGTTCAGATGCAGACGTAAAGGTGAGGATTGGCAAAGCATGGGCCGCATTCCTATAATTGAAGAACATATGGAACTCAAAACAACTTTCAACCAATATCAAAGTGAGGATCTTCAATACCAACGTCAAAACAGTTCTACTGTACGGAGCTGAAACTTCGACAAATACTACAACAACAATAATCAAGAAGGTACAAGTATTTATAAATGGTTGTCTACGCAAGATACTCAACATCCATTGGCCGGATACCATCAGCAATAGCCTTCTGTGGGAGAGAACAAACCAACTTCCAGCTGAAGAAGAAATTAGGAAAAGACGATGGAAATAGATAGGACATACATTACTCAACTCATCAAACTGCATCACGAGGCAAGCTCTAATATGGAATCCTGAAGGGAAGCGGAAAAGAGGAAGGCCAAAGAACACATTACGTCGGGAAATAGAAGCAGATATGTAAAGGATGAATAACAACTGGAAGGAGCTGGGAAGGACTGTGCTCCTTCACGAGGAGTAACAGTCGTAAGTAAGTAAGTAAGTCAGTACCAGTCACAACTCAACCTCAGTAAGATCTCTCGTTTGCTTATAAACAAGAGAACATTCAGGTACGAAACGGTTTGCCTTTTTGCATTTGCGTGAGTTACTTTGATACTTAGCTTAATAGTGAGTTAATTCTTTAAACTAATTAATGATTTCTACCTCATCTGGATTTCCAGATTAGTTTGAAGGAACGACATAAAAACATTATAAAATTGCTTAGACAAATACTTATGTGTGAACTATTGATAATCAGAATTGATTTTGTTCAACCTCAATCAACAAAATTAAAAACCACTTTGTTTTGACATAAACGTAAGATGACTTATAAACGAGTCAAAATGTGACTGATATGGCTTAACCCATTCTATTCTTTTTATTAGGATGAAAAATATAAAATTCATGGTACATACTCTAAAAATAACAGATTTGAAATCAAAGTATGATTTACAGATATTTTCCGTTCAATAATCGGTAATCCCGTGTTAAATAATGATTAATTTTAGGATTAAATATCAGAACATTTTTGTGGGACCGCACAAGTGGTGAGACAATGAAAAATAATACTCTATTTATTAGCATATGTTTGATTATAATGAAGAATTTACGATAAAAATAGGCAAACTACAGTAAATTCCCGTTTCTTGTAAATATACAATAGAATTTGGTTAAAAAGACTTATGAATATTAATGAACTCCAATAAATAGTATCGAATTACTATTTACAATCAGTCTTACTACCATGACATGTCTTGTCATCGGCTGATATTAATTCTAGAACAACTGTCTCACTTCTTCAAAGGACAGAGAAGGAGGAAAATATACGAACCGCTCTGATAGTACTTGTTAATTTTCTCAGTACACATTTAAAAAATGGCCTAGAAGTATAAGCAGATTGTCTTTTGAAGATTCAAAATTAGATAAGTATTGCTTGTAACATTGGATGATCATCACATTATCCTGCCAAGTGGCTCACATTAGAAATATGAAACATCAAGCTCTAATTCAAAGATCTATATGTAATATAATTTGGCATAGAATCTGAGATCAGATGTTGTTGTGCACCAACAAAGAGTTTACCTACAAAGAAGAAACTGTAATCAAATTTTCTTTTGTTTTTAATGGTTCTCCAGCTGATATGAGCTAGTAACTAGATATATTCTCTTATCTAACAATCCACTTCATGTGTTTACACTAAAGTTCTACAGTTCAATATATATACAGTGATCATATTTATGTGAAAGAGTTTTGGTGAAGTTTGTTTGATTTATAGGTTGTATTCATCTCAAATCTATCCCAATTGGGGAACAGTTTGAACAGAGAGAACATTGAACGACTGCTTAGTCCTAAAAATAGACTCATCGGTAGCAAGGACTCACGGCCGACGCTATTAGGGACCCAGCTCTTGGATGAAATGGTTGTCCAGTTCTCCCTTATCTTCAATGCTACCCTGAATGTGATCAATCTGCAAAGAATACAACCTAGAAATATATTATTTGTATATAAGTATATTTATTTGTTTAATACTGTATAATATAAATATTTCCTTATGTAAACGTGTTCCTATTTTCACTTCTATTTACATGAGGTTTATACAAGGTTCTTCTGTACCCAAAGATCTGTTCATATTACTTGACACGTAAGTTTGGATATTTTTTTATATACTGCCATTGAACGGTTCAAAGATGTCTTAAATGTTATCTATGAGCAAATGGCTAAACGATCAGATTCTTATCAGAACTTTAAGAATGTTCTCTGTTAGATAGTATTGATTAGTAGACTCATTTTTTGTACAAAGAAAATGGTTGAATTCATTAACACATATTTTCGATTGTGGAATGTTGAAAATGAATTAATTGAAAAATGATTCTTTTGCCAAATAGATTGCTATAGAATTCAAATCTAAAAATAATTTTAACTAAGTAGTTGGAGTTTATATTTTGACACACTTATCTTGATGCTAAAGTAAATGAAACTGTCGTTTTCTTTTCAATTTAACACCTAGAGTAGTGGTATGATGTGTAAACCAACCTCTTAGAAACATAATTTTGTTTAATAATTTGTGGAAAGTATTTAGTTCTGAATGGTAATGTTGACAGATAACAATGCAGCACAATTCAATCCGTGTTAATTCTCATTAACAAGGCTTATTTGAAAATTAAGGCTAGTTCAAAGTATTTCTGAAAACCTAATGAGCTACAGCAAGGTCAATCTTTTACATTCCCGTTTTAAAAGCAAGTAGACCATGTCCCCAGATAAATCCACGATATCATATATGAATGCAAAACTTAACCATTCACTTTTGATCTTAGTTAATAGGGTGACCAATAATAGGAAAGATATATTAATAGGGGTTTTCTCTTATTGACCTCCCTTAAAATATTGGATAAAGCTCACTTTTTCTGCTCGTTCCTTTTTTTCCTGATAAATACCTTCATATAAACAAAAGTACTAAACATTACCCAATATTGTTTACGTTAATTCATTTGTCCTCTATTAAATATTATTTTAGGAGTGGAAGTATGACTGGCCAGTCATTAAAACTGGCTAACTTATCAGCTCAGAAATTAATTGAAGCTCTTGATGTGGATGATTACTTCACTGTAGCACATGTAGGACAAATTTTTCCTGTTTAAACTTTATACAATTTTGGTCTAATTTTTTTACGCAAGTTTTCTAAACAAAGTCTATTTGTAATAAACAAAAGTCCTTTGAAAAAATTTATCATGTACCATTAAAATATTATAGTGTCTGTTCTAAACTTATTCTTTGTTCCAGCTCAACTTTTTACGTTAGAACTTCATTCAATGTACTTTACGTATCTGCATAACATCAAAAGCCTTTGCGCATACAGAGTGGCTGAAAGACGGATATAAAAACCTGTAACTAATAAATGAAAAAATCTCTTCAGATGTTTGATCACTTAGTAATAAAGGATGTCGTATTTAAAAACACACAATATGAACAAAGAGTTTCCCCTTTTACAGTTTCAGAAATTTAGAATTATTGGCTGAAAAATATAAAAACACATTTATTCGGACGGATAATTGTAAAACCTGATGAACCCTTATTGAAAAGTATATTTTTCGTTGGTCTTTCTGTTTTTAATATGAAGGGAATTTTTCGATAATCATAATGTGATATTGGTTTGATCCCTTAATGGTGATCGAATCTTATCGATAAATTCGCAATGTGGTTACTAGTCTGAGATTTCGTATGGTTGGAATTAGTCATCAGTAAACCCTGCATGACCTAGGTTCTATGCTAGTTGATACTCGCCATCAAAACTTACCTGCAATCTCTAGGGATTTGCTTCTCCCTAATAAATGAAAACCACACACAAGCTCTTATTCTCGTCATACATTTAAGCAAGTACCCATTATTCAGTCACTTATTTTTAATGAATTGAGTGAAGAAATTTCTTTTCAATTAGTTTTCATCATGGCTTTATACTAATATATATATATATGTATTAGTATAGAGCCATGATGAAAAATTAATTGAGAAGAAATTTCTTTCAATTTGTTCCTTCTTTATTTACCAAATGTCAAAATGGGAATTTTCACAATTATTTTTAATTTGTTTTAAATATTTTTAATTGTTGTGTATAGTTTCCTGGAGCTAAAGATCATGTTGCACCAATGATTGTCACAGCAAATAATGAAAGCGAACCAATTTGTTTTAATTCATTTGTTCAGGCAACTAGACGTAATAAAATGGTGAGTTTCATTTTTATTTTGAGTATTGTTTGCTTCCTCTTCCATTTGGATTATTTGAAAGATGAATGGATAGAAATTATCGTGCACAAGACAATAACTGAATCATTTTTTTTACTTCACTTAGGAAAGATATATTTCTTAAATTAGTAGTTAGGAGTTATGACCTGTATGAAGTTAATCACATTAAGAGTGAAGACACAAAATTGTTCATGATAGCCAAAGAAAATTGTGCATCAGCTAAATTTTGAAGATTCTTACCCCTGGGTTCATTTTATCAATTCAACGGTAACGAGTTGTAAAATATTTGTCTGTCAGCCAAGGGCCAAGGATACTGCTCTGTATTACTCTGTTAGTGTGAAACATGGCCTATGAAAGTAGAATACATGGGTAGTTTACAATAATCTGGTCCTAGGTGTCCTAAACGTATTGCTAACCTGTGGTAGAAAAACCAGATGAGCGATGCTGGGGTTTTAGATCGACAATGACTGAGGTGTCTGGGACATGTCCTACGTATGTGTAACCACCATCTACCTAAACGACACTTGAAAGGAACCCTTCTCTTTAATGATAGATCTCTGTAAATAGTCATTAGAATTTTATAAACGTCCTTAAAGTTTCTTTCAAGTTTCACTAGAAGCCTTTTTAGCCTAGCTCGTATTTTTAATGGATACACCATAGATGAACCTTGTGTTTTTAGTTAGTTTGTCGAGTATATGAAATGCCGAGGACCAGTCTATCCATCCATTAGGCGAATCTTTCCCCTTAATATATGTGAATTAGGAAATCCTATCCGGAAGTAATTACTTAACAGAAAACCTAATGTAAATATTGTACGTATTCTTGTCAACTTCCTTTTATTTCATAACTACTAATATGTTTTCCTTTTTTAAATATTGTATTCAAAAACTCAAGCGCTTGTTTTACGATTTGAGTACTTTAAAAGCACGTGGTTATTCCGATTTTCCAGCATCATTGAAATTCGCTTATGAAATGTTTCGTAATGTAAGTGAAATTCTTACAGCTTTCATATTTTAGAAATCCTTTAGTTTAACTATCCCTTATATTATAACGTTAACTGGTTTCATAACATGTAGACAACTAAATGATTGAAGACAGTTGAGAGGAAATCCTAGATATAGGTTTCGTGATAGCTAGTACTAGTCAACGTAGTGTACCTCCAATCTTTGGAGAACTGGTGCTCTCAGCATAATTCGCACCCTCACCACTCTGGTTTTGAGGGTTTTCCACCTGATGATCCTAGATCAATTCGGGCATCCTGACGACTACCTCCAAACACTTGACATTTCAACATAGTATAGTTACACAAATTATTTATAATTCAAAAGATTGTTCACTGAAAGTATTACAGCTGGCAATCATCTGAGCCAAACAAACTGCGATCTGGTGCATACATTTCAACTTAATATACTTGAGAAGCAAGAGAAATGACAACCAATAAATTGGGCAGATTGTTACTCAATTATAAAATCAAGAATAAGGATAGAAATACTTAGTAGTCAGACACTGAAATATGGATGTATACATTCTTAAGATTATAAATCAAAATGTAGGATCATTAATAAAAATCTATCCGTTATCTGGTCCCATTTATTGACGAAAAAATTAAGATAATTCAGTAAGGAAAATCCAATTCCCAACTATTTTATTTATCGATCGTGTTTATAATTATCAAAATTGTTACACAGTAGTCTATCGGGAAAATATGGGACCACGTGGTAGTTTTCAATAACCAATTAAATAACAGCTTATACATGATTCTAAAAGTTTTAACCCAACTGCTGCGTGAGTTAGAATACTGGACATTATTAGGAAGTTTTAATTGCTTAAACTGAATCGTAGTGTACACAAATCAAAGGTAGCACTAATCGGATGTAGAATGTTTGGTAGAGCAGAAGATTGAAATGAAAAGAACAGGAAGCAAATCGGAAAGCGATCGAGATAATAACAGAATTAGAGGAATAATGGAGTTAAGGTCGTTAAGACCAACACTAACCCGACTTCCCTTTCAGGTTCCTCAAGAAATACCCTTCCACGGTGTGTGCAGCCGAGAAGTGATATCAGCCCTCACACCCGTAACAGCACAAGAGACCAAGTTTGTCACATTCAAATCCCTCCTACACCTCCTAATACCTCTCTTATCTCCCCGACTAACCCTTCTCATGTCCCTTTATCGCCTTGCACCGCTAGGGCAACCGATTCGAGTACGTGGAACGTTATTCCTGGTCTCCTGAAACCACTCTCTAAACTACAAGTAGGAGCTTTAAATGTCCGAATACTGCCAAATAGGACAACAAGCTTCCTTAGCTAGGACTTTAGAATCTCGCGCCATCGATGTGTGCTGCGTCTCCGAAACGCGCATACAGGATCCGAGTGGCGTCATCTATTTGACCTCACCATGCCAAAATAAAGAACCGACTCGATTCACACTTCGTGTATCTGGAAGCCCAGATTCTGCTTCCCGTGGCCTCGCCGGCGTAGGTATAGCATTGAGTCCTAGGGCAGAACTAGCTCTCTTAGACTGGATCCCAGTAGACAGTCGTTTGTGCGCTGTCCGACTAAACGGAACAGTAAGGACTCGGAAAGATAGGGACACTCGTCGTTGCCTCTGCCTATTCTCTCACTGACTGCAGCTCAGATGATGTAAAAGATGAGTTTTACAGAAAGCTTTCCGACCTTCTCCGAAAATCTAGGTTCTCTGATGTAGTAATATTGTATGGTGACTTTAATGCTCAAGTAGGTAAACTAAGCGAAAGGGAAAGACACATGGGTGGATCTTATGGTGTCGCGGCTCAATGAACAGATAATGACGACTGTCTGTTGCAGCTATGCTCAGATAACCGCCTGTTTCTATCAAATCCTAACTTTAAGCACAAAGAAAGACACCTATTGATATGGCCACCCCCGAATTCGTCCCAAAGTTGGAGACAAATAGATCACATCGCTATCAGCCACCGATGGAGGGTCTCGTTCTGGAGCACATGCTCAGATTCAAATCACTCTCTAATGCGATCGCTTATTTGTCTGCGTCCCACTGGACGTAGAAAAGACGCTGCAATGAAACCTCTTAGGGCCCTTGTTGTGTCTTTATGGCCCGCCAGTTATCACGTAATCTATTCACCAATCAAAATACGACTTATTCGCTCTTATACTGTACTAAACCAATGACGTCCGACCGGTCTGATCAGCCTAGCGTCCTATTGGTTATTTGCTCGCCTAGCACGTTCAGCTGAGTTCGGAATGCCAACAACAGCCTCCACTATGCGAATCATATATTTCAAACATACTGGGTTTATATATGAATCAAACAGACCGCAATGCATCATAAAATAATAAATAATATTCATACACAATAAAGCCGAAATGTGTCTGTGAATGTTGGAGACTGTAATTAATAAACTGAGTATAATTTAAGAACAGTAAATCATATAATAATAAATTATGTGTCAAAATGAAGCTTATAATAAGGGGAATATAGATATACACAATCTAACTATTGGATAGTTATACCATAAGAATATATAGATAATATTAGTCAATTAATATGTCTCAGAAGTTACTCGTAATGTAATCTTCGCTAGGATATAACAGCCCTACTTAATGATAGCCAACCTAACAATGTATTTCAGGAACAACTAGAAAAACAGTTAGGCAACCATGTGAGTGATGTCCTTCCTCAGGCAGTCTGAGATGATATCCGAAAAGATGTGAAAACAGCAGTGATATCTGCAAGTACGGTAAACCATAAAGTTAGGGAGAAACACTGGATCTCAGCAGCATCTACCACACCGATAGATGCTCACAAACTCATTCCATCTGGCTCTGAACATAACGAAGGGCGGAGTCAGCTCAAGCGCAAGCTGACAAGAAGCCTACGCAATGATCGTGAACAGTGGGGGGTAGCGAAAGCAAGACAGATGGAAAAGGCAGCGGCAATAGGTAACATCAGACAACTGTTCAGACTTGTTAAGGAAACCGGTATTAGGAACCCGACTGTTAGTGAAACTATCTAAGAAAAAGATGGACATATTATACATTCTCAGTCCAGGAGATTGGATCGATGGACAGAACACTTCAGAGATCAGTTCAACTGGCCTTCAGCCACATTTCGGTTTCCCACGATTTCCAGTCGACCTGAATGGCAAGTTGATGTAAGTCCTCCAACCCTTTACTAAGTTGAGAAATTTATAGGAAATCTGAAGCGTGGGAGAGCAGTGGGCCCTGACAGGTTTACTGCTGAGAGTTTTAAGGATGGTGGTTCAGTATTAGCAGCGAGATTGACTGAGGTCATAGGTAGAATCTGGGAACTGGACGTAATCCCATCTGACTGGTCTCAATCACTGATTGTGCCAGTTTACAAGAAAGGACAAAAGTCCTCTTGTAACAATCACACAGGAATCAGTTTGACTAATATAGTGTCTAAAATATTAGCTTCAATAATATTTCGAGGCCTAACCAAAGCTAATGAAGAACAGACTAGGGAAAAACAGGCTGGTTTCCGATCTGGACCTGTTTGTATAGACCAGATATTCACACGAAGTCAGGTCCCGGAATTTCGAAAGCTGTTTTGATGAAGCGTTGGATCCCGATCTGGCTTCAACTATTTGATTCGGTGCTGTGATGGTGAAGCCGACACTACTATTGTTCACTGTGCAATGTTTGAAACAGAAGAAGGATATTTTAAGGAATTACAGCTCCTCAAGGAAGTGTTTGGTGAGAAGCACATCGTGGCTCATGCATTTGTTAATAATATGCTGAACAACTCTGCTGTTAAGGAGACCGACCCAGATAACTTAAGAAGGCTGTCTCGTGAAGTGCATATTTGTAGGCTGACGTTCAAGCAGATGAACTATGTATCCGATCTGAATTCTAAAAAAATATTGAGAGCATATTTTTGAAACTCCTACTTAATTTACAAAAAAAGGATAAATGTAAGTGGCATATGAAATTCTTAAGACGGGTAAAGAGCCTTTGTTTAAAGATCTTTGTGAATTTGTGAACGAACAGTCGGATATCGGTAATACCGGATACGGATTACTTGTCAGTGGAGATTCTTCTAGTCGGAACCAAGGGCAGCCGACTGTTGGTACTTAAAAAACCTTTACTCAGAGTAGAGGGCGAGAGTATCGTTGTACGGCACGAGTGAGTTTGATGTTCCTCTACACGTAAGATTAAGCACAGTTGTATGACCATGTTTATTATGTACTGATAACCATCGCTTAGATCACTGCCGAAAGTTTGGAGATAATCATAACAATGAAAAGATAGAATTTGTGCTAAAGTAGTTGTGTAATGTCTGTTTGAATGCAAACCATTTAGCAAGAAACTATTCAGCACTGAGGTCATATACCATCGAAGGATGTGACTGAAGACACTATACCTTGTTACACAGGAAGCCGGAAGAGCAGAGAGATAGTGATATTAATGTCCAAATCAATACCCAACTCTGTACTGAGGAGAGTGCTAAGCGTGTACAAAGACAATCAGCATTTTCAATAGTGCCTGCATTGGCAAAAGTGGAGAATGCGCCGTATAGACTTGCGCTTCCCCGGACGGTGGCTCAGAAGTTTCATTTATTACGGAAAATCCAGCTCAAGAGCTGTGTTCACATGCAGGGTCTAAGATACTCTTCTTGAAAACACTGGATAGCCAGGCCTCTTTCGACCATAAATAGGTTCAACTAGAAGTTTTCTCCCAAGAATCAGAATTCCAAATATATGGGCGCTCGAGAGGTTACCCGTGTTGCGTAGGACGGCGCCAACGACATTCCAAATGATATCGTGGGAAATCTAGCATGCCATATGCTATAAAAATTTCCTCAGGGTGGAAGTTGCCTGAATCTTATAATGGGACCACGAAATATGTGGGTATCATAAATTATCTATCGTTTTAAGATGAACTGGAAGCTATATTACACCAACTATATATGATGGAGTTTGAAGAAGACCCGAATCACCGTGTTCTCATGTTGTTTGAAGACCGTTAATCCAAATCCATACAGTTAGTAGACGGCCATTAACGAATGGTTCTGCCTTGGCGTTACCAATGAATCCTACATAATAATAGAAAACTAGCAATCAGCAGAATAAATTCTCTGAGAAACCCGCTCATCCGTGACCAGAGACTGAACAAGGAATATATCAAAGTGAGGACACAGTATGTTGAACGGA